TATCTTATACTACTTTAACCCTTCGCTGTCACGCTTACTATACAAAGCAACACACGTCATACAATCTCAAACAATTGCCACTCAAAATCTAGCAACGCTATTTTCACCCAAAAATTTGAAAGCGTAATTTGAACATCGTTTCCTTTATTAGAACTCGGCATCTCAGTTCCGAGTATATCAAATTAATTCGTCAAATTCACTTTTCCGATAAAAAATCTGTCTCATTTTTACCGAGTATGACAAGGGAGGGTTAAAGCAGCGTTGCAATTTATACTGAATTAAAGGAGTGTTGATTGCAAGCTACACTGAATTAACGGAGCGTTGATTGCAAGTTATACCGAATTAAAAGAGTGTTGATCGCAATTTATACTGAGTCGCGTGTATTTTGCTTCTGTTGCAGCAAGAAGGTGGTCCAAGCGGACTGACGGGAATCCAGCAGTGCGCCGGTTGCGGCGGCCAAATAGTAGAAAGATGGCTCCTGTTCGCGATGGATCGGTATTGGCACAACGGCTGCTTGAAATGCTCGTATTGCAGCGCAGCACTGGCGGAAATCGGCCACTCGTGCTACACCAGGAGCGGCATGATTCTCTGCAAAAGCGACTACAGAAGGTAGGAACGCAACGCTAACTTTCTATGCGCGCCGATTCTCGCGGTTCCAACGAATTCTCCGAAATAGACAATGCACCGATTTCCTTGAAGCATTGCCACTCGATTGACGAAAGTTCAAAACGTCAACGTGTATACAAAAGTACTTAACGATTTTCCATTTCTTGTTCATCGATAATAGTGAGACGGAAAAAGTATTATTCGCTGGGTCTCTTTTGACCCGGAATATTCGAAATCGTAACTTAAGGAATTATTCAAGTGACGACGATTTAATTAAATAAATAGCTATTAGGGTAATAGAAAGGGTGGATAAAATGCATTTTGAAAAATTAGTTCTTTCGTTATTAATCTCTGGGTCCATTTTGACCCGAAATATTCAAATGTCACTTAATTACTGGATTTTAATTTAAATAAATAGTTGTTAGTTTAGGAGCGATAGGAAGGCTAATAAGTCTTTAGTATTAAAACAAATAAGCTTACTCATCATATTAGCTTTGGGTCTATTGTGACCCAGAGTATTCAAAATCGTAATTAAGTAATTATTCAATCGATGACAATTACGAATTAAGTAACTGACCGACAGGGATAATAGGAAATTTGACAGTGTGGGTCTATTTTGACCCAGAGTATGCAAGCTGTTACTTAAGCAGTCAATTTGAAATTATTTTAGATAGAATGGCAGGATCAACAAGTTTTCGAAAAGCATCTTCAAACAATATTTTACTTATTATTACTCTTTAGGTCTATTTTGACCCAGAATTTCCGAATCGTCGCTCGATTACTCAATTATTGGCATTTAAATTGTAATAATCGTTACCCTAGGGTAACTAGGCAAAAATAAGATTTGAAAAATAAAGCTGATTCCAAGCAATGTCCGTTGTATATAAAGTTGTAAAAAAAACTTGTACAAAACTTCAATTATTTTAAGTGTACAAGACCTCTCTTATCCAAATAAACAACTGACCCATAAGTGTTCAAATGTTAGAAATGTTAATTAAACCGCAGCATTAGCCGTTTACTGACTTGTTCGAAAAATAGTGATAGAGACGAACCGCATTAGATCAAATTTGACTAGGAATTGATTTCAGTATAATTTAATTTGATCGGTTTTAATTGGAGATAATATTATTCAAATGAATTTTATTATGGTAGCAAATGATAGTAGAAATTTATTACATAGTTTGATTAACAGGATTTTTTATAAATTTGTTATAGGTTACCTTTAAATTTTAATAGAATCCGATGCAAGTTTACAATTTGGTTAATTTTCGTATAAATTTTACTGGAATTAATTTCGATAAAAGTTTAATTGAATTAAAAATCTTTTGGTTTTGTTATAGGTTAAATTTAAATGTTAATAAGGTCCAATATAACTTCATAATTTAGTTAATTTTTATTACAACGTGTTCTATTGATAAATAATTACAAAATAAATAAACCACCGGGCATCAACTGTTCACTGACTTGTTAAAAATTATTTACATGTACAACTTGCTCCATTAACAAATGATTAAAATATCGGTTCGGATAATCGAAGCACTACTTCCACGTGTTCCGCATCAGCAAATGTTTGACAAGAAATTTTAATTAGGGGAACAGCAACATTTGTATTCCCGGTTGGTCGACTGATACCCACGAATAATTAACGAGCAGAAAAATCGAGAAGATGACGAGCGCGCGCGCGCGCGGTCGCAGCCGAAATTTATTCGGAATTACCGAGTCTTTATTAGTGATAAATGGTTCAATTAGACACTTCCGGTGCGCCGCTGATTATTAAGTCGAGACACGCCGCGGCTCCCAAGTATCGAGTAATCAACATTCCGCGGACACAAAGTAGGTGCAATTTAGGAAGCTGTCACTTAACCGTTGATTAAGGCACCGCCGATGAAATATTGTTTGTAATAACTTCTTTGACATTGCTAGCTGCTGGCGGACGGGTCGCGGCGACCTATTTCAGACCTTGTGCCACACGGTTACATGGATCGTGAGGTATCGTCACTTACTATGAATTCACTTATCCGGTTACGATAAAATCTGCTCAACTTCTGGAAACTCGTGCGTCGACGAAACGCGATCTCATTATTTTCCATGATGGCGAGCAACTCGAATGCAAAACCATCAATCGAAATAAAAAAAATATAATAAATATAATATATATATATATATATGTATAATATTTATTATATCATATATTATAATATTATATTATTACAATAATATTATAATATAATATTATTATTATATTATATAATATATATAAAATAAATAAATAAATATAAATATATAGTAATAATATTATATTATAATAATTATATTTTTTATATTATTATATATTACATATATTATATAATATATATAATATATAATAATATAAAAAATATAATACATATGATACTAAAAATTAAATATAAAAATAATTGAAAACATACTCACAGATCTTCTACACCGTAATTCGTAAAACTTGTCACATAGTAGAACAAAGTTTCCTTCGTATCATTTTAGCTAACTTTTAGATTATGGTAGTGACTTTTAAGTTTTAGTAAAGTTTCTCGCCGTTGAATTTTATCGTTTGAAAACTTTATCGTATTTAAATGAACTCGTCATAAAAATTGGCGCATTTCAAATATTTGTCAAATAAAATCGACTACTGATGCTTGACTAAAAGTCAAGTTTCTGGTCAAGTGTTTGGTGTTCGGTGTTTGAAAACGTGCCTTTTTAATAAAATGTGACTAACTTCATAGTGTTACGAGTATACAATATAATAGTAACTAGGCTGCAGAAGTTTGTGCGAAATAAAGATTATCTCCACCGGTTGCGAATATAAATATCATTCTTTCTTCAATAATTTTAATATATTTAAATATCAAACATTAATTAACGTTTCCACGGTTTTTAATTTAATTTAATTGTTTTGATGAAATTACAAAATCTACAGTCTAGTAATAAATTAAGTCTAAATTCTCTAGAGTTGTGCAACAATTCCCACGATAGCAAAAGATTTTAAAAAGTTTTTTGTCCATATACAGTCGGTGTAAAAAGTATTCGTACACATTTTGAAACCGAACAACTTTTTACTTGATTTGAACTACATTTTTTTGGGGCATGCTGAGAGATTAATTTACTCAGACAATGGCTATTTCCAAAATGTGCAATTAGTTAAAATGATAAAAAAAATTAAAAATTGTTGTTGTTTTTACCAGACCGTATAACAGAAATGTTTAAACTACATTTTACAGATCTCTGTTGCTTATAGACACACTGAAATTTCCATTGAAATCTCTTGACAGATAAAAAGGTTGAAAAAACATAATTTTTCAATCTTTTTAAAACAATTTCCAGCCATTATCTAATGCCTCTAACACGCCAACAAGAATTTCGTTCGAATTGAAGAAAACGTTGTTCGGCGTCGAAAGGTGTGCGAATACTTTTCTCGCCGACTGTATGTGTCCAACAAATTTTTCCAAGGACACTATACTGCGGAGCTCATTATACCAGGTGGCGCGTCGCCGTGTTCCCCCGTGGCGTCGGAACTTTTTGAAATCCGCCGCGTCTCGCGGTGGATACACCTAATCGGCGGAGACCCGGGTTCCAAATTTAGAAGATTCGAGGTCAAAGCGCAATTTAATGAGAAACAGACGCAGAAGTTAGTTAGCGTGCCCGAAAATAGATCGGCACAATCTGGCCGGGGACCGTGCGCACGGAATCTAATGGGTCTGTCCATATTTTTTTCTTCATCGACCTGTTAACTCTCGACGGAACCCCGACGGCTCCTTTTCATCTCTGATTAAAACCGGGAAATATACGAGGCAACCGGGCTCCCCCGGCGGGGCCCCTCCTCGGACACCCACCCGGCCGTTTATTTTCGGTTAACGATCGCCGTGTAATCCGATTAATTTACGGTTAATTACTGGACGTGTACGACGTCGATTAATTTCATTCGTGTTCGAAGATATCGATCGTCGAAGTCGTTCGATATTTCTTCCAATTTTTCCACCGATTTTCGGCGGTTCCCTCGCGAGGGATGGATTACAGTGGAAACTCGATCGTCTGGGTTCACGATATCAAAATTCATTATTAAAACATGTTTCACAGGCGAATATGTCTTCTGATTCGTTCGAATCATCCAGGTTCCGATGTACATTTTTCGTTGTAACTGGTTATAATGAAAACTCGATTATCCGAATTTAGAATGTTTTAATTATTTATTACAAGAATCTTATTATATTATCTATATGTGTCCTAATTGCTTTGGATAGACGGTAACTTACTGTATCATGCTTGTTGCAATAGATTGCAGTGGAAACTCGCTTATCCGAATTTAGAATGCTTAAATTATCTATTATAAGAATCTTACTATATTATCTATATGTATCCTAATTGCTTTGGATAGACGGGAACTTACTGTATCATGCTTGTTGCAATAGATTGCAGCGGAAACTCGCTTATCCGAATTTAGAATGCTTAAATTATCTATTATAAGAATCTTATTATATTATCTATATGTGTTCTAATTGCTTTGGATAGACGGGAACTTACTGTATCATGCTTGTTGCAATAGATTGCAGTGGAAACTCGCTTATCCGAATTTAGAATGCTTAAATTATCTATTATAAGAATCTTATTATATTATCTATATGTGTCCTAATTGCTTTGGATAGACGGGAACTTACTGTATCATGCTTGTTGCAATAGATTGCAGTGGAAACTCGCTTATCCGAATTTAGAATGCTTAAATTATCTATTATAAGAATCTTACTATATTATCTATATGTATCCTAATTGCTTTGGATAGACGGGAACTTACTGTATCATGCTTGTTGCAATAGATTGCAGTGGAAACTCGCTTATCCGAATTTAGAATGCTTAAATTATCTATTATAAGAATCTTATTATATTATCTATATGTGTTCTAATTGCTTTGGATAGACGGGAACTTACTGTATCATGCTTGTTGCAATAGATTGCAGTGGAAACTCGCTTATCCGAATTTAGAATGCTTAAAT